TTTTAGCTTTCAGGAAGCTGGGGGCTAGCATGCAGTAATACAGACAAATTTTATCATTTTAAAAAGAATTAGCCTCACAGTATTTCCTTGGTATTCGCAGAGTGAGAACGCTAGGGTGGGAGTGCTGCTCAGGGCTAGCAGCTGAGGCAGGCGGGGTGAGGCCATCCGGCCAGGGAGGGGCTGGGAGGGACAAGGCCTGGCCGGTGTGTGGAACTGGGCCACAGGGGTGTGGCCAACCCTCTGCTGTGCTCTGGGCCTGTGTACTCTCTCCTCACTTGCGCTGGTGAGCAGACGGCTCAGAGAGCTTGAGTCATGAGTCTGAGGTCACACAGCACGGGGAGGTGGCTTCCATCCCTTCTCAGAGCTGGGGCTCTGTCAGCCTTGGACTGGGTGGCAGGGCCCTGGCTGTCACGAGAGCACAGGGGGGCAGCAGGCAGGTGACTTGGGGATTTGGAGTCTCGGGCCTTGGGCACAGGCCTTACATGCCAGGAAAGCAAAGATTTGGGCTCTGTTGGTGCCCACGGCGGCTCGGGCCCTCTGGATGGCAGCTCAGGAGTCTCTGCACCTCCAGAAGCCTGTGAATGGGGAGTGGCCCGGGGCAGGACCTTGGGACCTTGGGCGCCTGGGCCGGACGCCCCCAGCCCGCCTCTGCTCAGCCCTCGCTGGGGAGAGGGAGCCTCCTCCTGGTAGCACTGACCCTGAGGCCGAGAGCCGGCCGCACCAGGGCGACGATCGCAGCTATGGAGGACTGACCCGGCGCCCCAGCATCCGGGGGGGCCCTCTCGCCTCCGCCTCCGCCCAGGGAAACTGAGGCCCGGGTGAAGGCGGCTCGACACAGGCAGGCCAGGTCGGCCCGCGAGTTCAGAGCACCTCGGCCCGCTCGGCTGCGGGGTCCCGGGCCTCTGCGGGCGCAGCGGGGCGGGCGGGCACCTCCGGGAGGTCACTCGCCGCCGGCACGTAGAAGTCTGCTGGGACTTGTCAGCAAAAGGAATAAATGGGCGCGTTATTTCTTCATTCCGGACCTCAGCATCTGTTGTCTAATCAGGCAGGAGGGCAGGGCGGTCGGCGTCTTCCTCTGTCAGAGGAGTTTACGTGGTTAATGCACAGGCCGTGGCGATTTGAAATATAATCCCATTACACTGACGAGATTACCGGCCTCGGGGACCCCACAAATCACTCTCCGGCCGTCGGTGGCGCACGCGCCCCTGCTGGGAGTTGGCACGTAAGGGGAGGTGTGCGGAGAAGGGAACGTGACAGTGACAGCCGGAACCCCCGCGTCCCCGGGCCTCCCCAGCTGGCGAGGTGTAGGGCAGCCGGGCTGGGAAGTGGGGGGCAGGCGGGGATCCCAGGAGGCTCCACCCCCGCGCTGCAGGGCCTGGCTCTGTGACTTTGCTTCTCCTCGCCTCGAGGTTTCCTCATCTGTAAAATGGGGTCAGGTGGAAACGTGAGGGGAATGAATGAGAGGGCTAATGAAATAGTAACTAAGGTGAGGGGACGGCGTGGCAAGAGGCTAGCGCAGGCAGGCACCGGTGAAAGGATAGAAGGCACTAATGTGGGTCGTGCACAACACGGTTGTGGTGTTAGGAAGATAGGTGTTTTTTTTTTGTTTTGTACTGGAGATTGAATCCAGGGCTTCTGCACTGAGCTATACTCCCAGCACTTTTTAGTTTTTATTTTTTTTGGGACAGGGTCTTGAGACTCAGTTGTCCAAGCTGACCTGGAACTTGCAATCCTGCCTAGGTGGGATTCCTGGTGTGCACCATGCACGCTGGCAAGGGTGGATTATTTATTTATTATTTTTATGTCTTTAGTACAGAGTCTACAGGGTCTCACTACACAGATTGGACTCGCAGTGATCCTCCTGTTTTCAGCCTCCCAAGCGCTGGGATTACAGGTGCGTGCCATCATGCCCAGTCTCAGTCACAGTCTCAGCATGCCCTAGGGGGCAGGGCTGGCACTGCATGCTGGGGATCGGACCCCAGTCGCTGTGCCTGCCTAAGCAGGCTAGGCTTTAGTCCACTGAGCTATATCTGGTTGGCCCAGGATGGATGTTTTAAATTTGAATAGTTATGGATTTATTTTAATGAGCACCAGAAAACAGATAAGCCCCTTGCCAAGTCCATGACATCCCTTGTTTCACATGGGGCTTCAGGTGGAGAACCAGCCTGAGGTAACTGAAGGAGCTCAGTGGATGCCTGACAAGGTCCTACGTCAGGGTGGCCTATGAATGGTGCCATTTGGGAAGCATGGTGTCATCTCACGATGGCAGATGCTATGACAGTTTCCCAAACACTGTGATTTCCT